CCATGAACAGGCATTCGGAGAACTGTCTCCACTGAGCAGCGGTCATTTACCGCTGCATAATAAAAGGACACCTATATACACTGCTCCTCTCCTGCCCCCCTCCCCCCTACAAAGAGGACCTGTCACTCATAGGCTATCACATCGGAGACTATTGGTCCCCTATGTGATGGCAATAAAATCATAACTTTATTAAAAAAAAAATATACATGAAAGTAGAAAAAAAAAATTGGAGCCTCCCCACATATGCAGACATTTCGGTTTCAGTTCGGTTTTCAGCCACATGCATTCAGAATTTTCGGTGTTGGTTTCGGCACCAGAATTTTATTTTGGTTCACCACTAAAATGGGTTTAACCTTTAGCTTGGGTTATCTAATAAATGCTGGAAGAAGAAATGAATGTTACATTTTTTTTCCAGCCTATAGCGAGTAGAGGAGTTTGTATCTGACATCTTGCTTTTTTGTGTTCTATTACTAACAATGCATTTACATAGAACAGTGAACCATGCTGCCCCCCATACTCACAAAGGAATGTTTTGCATTTCATACTACTGTTGCTCACAGGCAGAAAATGAAACGCTGACCGCCAATAATTAACATTTTATGTACCTTAACTGGTATTTTTATATATTCACTGGACTAAATTATGTTCCCAAGTATGTTTGCATATGGGCATGTCAAATAACACTAGAGGCTTTGGTGATTTCCCATAAAAAAGCTGTTAGTTGTGCAGGCATTTAATTTAGCTTCTGACTATATGTTATGGGTTACTGCACTTTTGAACAATTAATGTTTAGCAAAGCCTTTGTTGTCTGACAAGCTGCTCAGCCATAAAGAGAATTCAAAACTGTCAGTGTTGCAGCCATTTTCCATTGTTTTTATTTTTTTTAATTTTGATTTGCATATTTGTGTAATTTTAATGTATTTTGTAACAATTTGAATTTATCCTACAGATGGAGTAGGGCTAAATCCAGCGCAGACAGCTGGTAAGTAAAATTGTTTGTAATGAAGACGTATTGCAAAATAAATTGTCCAAAGCTGTATTCATAAATTGGTTTAAAACAGGCCATACACTAGCGGTTTTCACCCTTCCCCCACAAATTATTTAGAATATTATCACAACTGTTATATAATTAAAATGTGTTCGTCATACAGTATGGGACACAGGAGACGTATTTGGGTACATAGGGTTATGCTGTTGCAGGGTTATACTGATGCCTTTAGGAGATGTTTGGACATCCCAGTATCACCCCTCCCACTCCCAGCAGGTCTCAGAGTGAACCAAACCTTCTTTTACTTTTTTTTTCCTACTAGCAAGTTTCTACAGTTCTGCAGGGACTCTGGAGATGATTTTTGCAGCTTCTAAATCAGCTAATCCCTGACTTAACCCTGCAGGCCATACACGGACCCTATTGTGAAAAAGAAGTGGGGCTGGCCTGTAATGTGCTTTCTGGGTGCTAGACTCCGCATTAGGTGCTCACCCAGGCAGCCTTGGGTGTAATGTGCTAAGTTAGCCACAAGGTGCTTTTCAGGTTCAAGGCCTTGGTCCACTCATCTAGGGATGGCAGCCCTTTTTAAAGGCTTGTTCTTGCTTTCAGGTCCTGCACTGCAACCCTCTGTTGTAACCATGGCCATCTGCCAGATCTTAGCTGTGCTGTCCATTGACACATCTCTGGTTCCTGGTTCTATCTTCAGACCCCTCTGCCTTGTGTTTTCAGTCTCCGGTCATTCCCTTCTTTCTTCTGAGAGAACAGTTGACTCTGACAGCCAACGTCCAACACACTGTGCAGACCCCTGCAGAGTTTTGAGTGGATTCCAACCCTCCAGACTTCAACTCTGGAACCGTCTCATTGTTTTGATTATCTGGGTCAGATGTTAAATATGACCTGTCTAAAGTCTTACGTCCCCTGGACAAACTCTAGACTCCGCTCCCACGTTCGGACACTATAGTCCAGGAGCTTACTAATTCTCTGCTCTGCTTTGCTTGAAGGTTTTGGGCCTGTAGGTGGCCATTTCATCTCCATATGTGTAATTACACTGCAGACTGTTGCAGCTCAAGTTTCTGGCGGTGTGAGATAGGCAAGCTCAATCTCTGGATTGTCTCATATGCTTGACTAGCAAGACCACACTTGTCCAGGCATAGTGGGTCTCAAGTTTGGTGCTGAAATCAGGAAAGTCCCTTCTGCCAGTTATTTGGAAGGTTCTCATGACAGACACCAGCCTATCAGGCTGCGGAGGCATTCTAAATACCATCTCAGAGGAAGGCACTTGGTTGTGGGAGAAAGCTCATCTTCTGTGCTTATTCTGGAACTCAGGACGCAATAATAATTATTATTATTATACAGTATTTATAAAGCGCCAATAGTTCGCTCAGCGCTGTACATTACAAAGAGGGACAGAACATGTGACAGAACAATACCAATACAATGCAAAACATGAGGGGATTGAGGGCCCTGCTCTTTCGAGCTTACAATCTAGGAGGGAGGGGATGGTGGCACAGGAGGAGATAGCTGTGGGGGATGGAGTGGTAGGAAGAGTGGAGGAGGTCGACAAGTTAGCAAAGGGTGGGGTAGGCTTCCCTGAAGAGGTGGGTTTTCAGGGTGCACCTAAAGGAGAGGAGAGTAGGTGATAATCTGATGGGTTGGGGCAGGGAGTTCCAGAGGATGGGTGACACCCTGGAGAAGTCCTGGAGGCGGGCATGGGAGGAGGAGACCAGGGAACTAGAGAGAAGGAGGTCTTGTGAGGAGCGGAGTGTGCGTGCTGGGCAGTACTTGGATATTAGGTCAGTGATGTATCTGCAAGGTCATCTGACCAGGAATCAGTCGGACAGTGCCAGGGCTTACATCAACCATGGGGGGCGGGGGGGGGGAAGGGGGAGTCTCTTTGTGCAAGGAATTAGATCTGATTCTGGCTTGAGTAGAAGTTCATATTCCAGTTCTGTCCACTGCATACTTCTCAGGCATGGAAAGGTGACAGGCGTACTTCCTCAGTCGAAAAACTCTTGGCTACAAAGAATGGTCTCTTCCCCCTGAGGTGTTTTTCGGGACCTCTGTCACAGCTGAAGGACATGCCAGGCTTGGACTGCCTGACTTTTTTGGTTCAACAATAAACTGAGTAGGTTTATCTCCCGATCCAGGTGTCCTCTAGCCTTTGCAATAGTTATTGATGGTGACTTGGTGGCATCAGTTTTATGTGATCTATGCCTTTCATCTGCTTAAATACCTTTCACGCCTACCCATAGAATCAAGCTAGAGGGCATTCAGATGAAACTGAATTGCCATCCATCTCGGACTGCCTCAGTCTTCTGGCAGACTCTCTGTGGGATGTTCTGTCACTGGCTTTAATGGCCTGGCTTAGAGGCCTATCAGATTCATTCATCCCTATGCTCTTGAAGGCTAGGAAATGGATTTCTCGCAAAGTCTACCATTGCACTTGAAAGATGTATTTCTCCTGGTGTGATTTAAAGCAAGTTCAATTGAAGCAAGTTCTTTGTGGGATGAATTATGTCTTTTTTTCCACTCTGGTCTCGATCAATGTTTAGCCTTGAGTGCCCTCAAAGGTCATATCTCAACCTTTACTTTTCTTTTTCAGAGACTGCTCACTCACATTGTTCTTTCTGTGCCCATTGTCTCTGTGAGATCTCATCCTGATTGCCTTCCTCACCACCATCACTTCTATGAAGTGAATACCTAAATTGACAGCCTTAAATAAAAACTCCTTTCAGTCTTGTAGTTGTACAGGCTCCTCTACGGTACAAAAATTGCTTCCACTGGTTTTATTTCACTGTGAGCTTTTTACAATGTGCATTAGAAGCTGCAGCAAGTCAGATCCCTTCTTATTCCCTGGCTAGAGGATGCCCAGAATCTTCTTCTTCTCTCCCCAGCCTTACGGTCCCTAGCCCCAGCACTTTTTTAATTTCTTGGATTTCAGTTTTTTTGAATATGAAATATTACTTTTGGGCATTTCCTAGAGTGGTCTTCTGTTCACAGGAAGCTATATACAGCCCTTTCCACCAGCCATAATGTGTTGCATAGAGCAGCACAGAGACCCAGTGAGGTCATCCCTGGGTTTAAAATAAGGCATGTCATGAAAAAGCAAATATTTTTATTAAAAATATCATTGGCATGTTGCTTAGGGCAAGGGGACTCTAATGTACTCCAAGAAGGGATTTTAGGGTAATTAAAAAAAAAAAGTAGGGTAAGTTCTTTAGACATTGGAAGAGGCCTAAAGTGTTACTAAACCCAGGACCCTGCATTCACTATAATATCTGGTCTCCCACAGTACACAGAACATTGAAATGCAATTATTTTAGTAATTATAAACCGCTAAATACCTTTTCTCATCAGCAGTTAGAGCAGTTTTGTGACTTCTATCAGTGTTAAGCAGAGCACATGTTAAAGCTTGTAGGATAAGTTTTCTTTCTGATCTAGTAGGATTCAAATCCCCTGACCTCTGTTTGAACAGTGCTGATTGGCCCTTTGCTGATTGCATGCACTCCCAAGAAAAAAAACCTTTCTAGCGATACACACCAAACTGAGCATGTGCAGAGTGTCTCCACAGCATATGTCTTAATCAGGCGATAAGAGGGAGACACTGGAAGAAGGGGAGGATCAGAGAAGTCAGCCATTCTTCACAATGTAGAGAATTAACCCCTTAGGTTCCACAGTGAGTATATCAAGCATGGTTTACTGCATATACAGACTGATTTTACTGTTGTGGGTTTAGTAACACTTTAAAGGATACATTCACTTTAACCACTTGCCTACAGGGCACTTATACCCCCTTCCTGCCCAGGCCGATTTCCAGCTTTCAGCGCTGTCACGCTTTGAATGGCAATTGCGCGGTCACGCAACACAGTACCCATATGAAATCTTTATCATTTTTTGTGACAGATAGAGCTTTATTTTGGTGGTATTTAATCTTCTCTGGGTTTTTTTTATTTTTTCTTAAACCAAAAACCACTGAAAATTAAAAAAAAAAACAAACGTTTTTTCTTAGTTTTTGTTATAAAATTTTGTAAATAAGTGATTTTTCTTCTTCACTGATGTGCGCTAATGAGGCTGCAGTAATGGGCACTGATAGGTGGCACTGATGGGCACTGATGAGGAGGCACTGGTAGGTGGCACTGATGGGCATTGACAGGCATCACTGATGGGCACTGAAAGGCAGCACTGATATATGGCACTGTTAGGCGGCACTGACTGGCACTGTTAGGCGGCACTGACTGGCACTGTTAGGCGGCACTGACTGGCAGCACTGATAGGCGGCACTGATTGGCATTGATGGGTGACACTGAAAGGCAGCTCAGATGGGCACTGATATGTGGCATTGATGTGCACTGGTAGGCACTGATATGTGGCACTGATGGGCACTGGCACGTGGCACTGTTCAGCACTGGCAGCTGGCACTGATGGACACTGACAGATGGCACTTCTGGGGCCACACTGATCATCAGGGCACACTGATCATCAGTGCTCTGATGATCAGTGTACATGTCCCCTCCTAGTAATGCCGATTACCCTCCTCTCCTCACGAGCTGTCAGCGTGACAGCTCGAGAGGAGAGAAATGCCGATAACCGGCATTTCCCTGTTTACATGTGATGAGCTGTGACTGGACACAGCTGATCACATGACCGAGCCGACGTCTTCGGCTCTTTCCGTGGATCGGTGATCCGCTGTGTCCGAGGGACACAGCGCACCGCCGATCGCAGCATTGCGCGCTCCCGGAGCTGCGCATGCGCGGTGAGAATGGGAGGACGTTATATGACATCCTCCCAGAACGAGAGAACCACTTTGCACCCGTCATTGGACTATATGGTGGGCGGGAGGTGGTTAAAAAAAAGAAAATGCCCAGTTTTTTTTTTTGCAGGTTTGTTCAACAGAACTGTGGTAGTTCATTGAAAACTACAAGCCCACATCTGCAAAGGACTTGTAGAACTCTGTGAATTAATGATATGGCGTGTGGGTGAAGCTCCGCACAGCCATGCTGTTTTCAAAAGTGACTAGTACAGGGAACTTCTCTCTGTACTGCTGTCACAGGGAGAGAGGGCAGCAGGTGGAGGCTGCAGCAGTGGAACATGTTACAAACAGGTTCCCAATGGTGAACTTATCCTTTAACCACTTTCCTTCCTTAGCATTTACCCCCCTTCCTGACTAGGCCATTTTTTGCTGTTCAGCACTGCGCTATTTCAACTGGTAATTGCGCAGTTGTGCAATGCTGTACCCAAACAAAATTTATGTCTCTTTTTCACACAAATAGAGCTTTCTTTTGGTGGTATTTGATCACCTCTGCGGTTTTTATTTTTTGCGCTTTGAACAAAAAAAGGGCAAAAATTTTGAAAAAAAAAAACTATTTTTCACTTTCAGTTATAAAATATATCCAATAAACTCAGTCATAAATTTAGGCTGAAATGTATTTTGCTACATGTCTTTGGTAAAAAAAAAAAAAAAAAAAAAATCTCAATACGTGTATATTATGGTTTGTATGAAAGTTATAGCGTCTACAAACTATGATATATATATATATATTGGATTTTACGTAGCTTTTACTTTCTGACTGCCTATCGCATTTCTTGAGGTGCTAAAATGCCAGGGCAGTACAACCCCCCCCCAAATGACTCATTTTTGGAAAGTAGACACCCCAAGGATTTTGCAGAGAGGCATGTTGAGTCCATGGAACATTTTATTTTTTGCCACAATCTTTTTGATAAATGACATTTTTTTTTTTTTTTTTACACACACAAAATTGTCACGTTAATGATATGTTGCTCACGCCATGGGTATATGTGGAACAAAACCCCAAAACACACTCTTCTACTTCTCCTGAGTATAGGGATACCACATGTGAGAGACTTTTTGAAAGCCTAGCTACTACATACAATCCCACAAAATCCAATGACCACCTCCAGGCTTTCAAAGGGCATATTTCCTCACATCACTTGCCCACTACCTATCACAGTTTCGGAGGCTCTAAAATGCCAGGATAGTACAAAACCCCCCCCCCCCCCCAAGTGATCCCTTTTTGGAAAGTAGACACCCCAAGGAATTTGATAAGAGGCATGGTGAGTATTTTACAGATATAATTTTGGTCACAGGGTTTTGAAAAAGAAAAGAAAAAAATGTTTTCTTTCTTCATTTTCCAATAACGTGGCAACCAATTAGATCTGAAAAACACCATACCTCTTAGCAAATACCTTGGAGTGTCTACTTTCCAAAAAGTGGTTATTTGGAGGGATTGCTTCTACTATCCTTTCATTTCAGGCCCAACATTAGAAGCGTATGCCACACATCACCCACTCTTAAAGACCAAGCTTTTTCTGCCACTTTTTGTTCACATGAAAAAACAGTTTTTATTCCTAGAAAATTACTTTGAACCCCCAAACATTATATATTATTTAAAGCAGAGGCCCTAGAGAATAAAACGGTGGGTGTTGACAGTTTTTATGTCACACAGTATTTGCGCAGTGATTTTTTCAAACGCAGATCTTTTGGGAAAAATCCACTTTTTAGAATTGTAATGCACAAAAACACAATGTATTGCCCAATAGTTTGATAAAATATAAAAGATGATGTTAAATGAGTAAATAGATACCAAACATGACATGTTTAAAATTGCGCATGCCCATGCAATTGCAACATACATACATTTTTATTATTGATAGGCGACGCTTTAAAAGCCTTTACAGGTCACCAGTTTACATTTATACAGGAGGTATAGTGCTAGAATTACTGCCCTCGATCTGCGTTCGCGGCGATACCTCACATGGACGGTGCAACAACTGGTTACATACCAGCACGGGGTCAACGCTTGCGCACGCAGGGGGGCAAGGGTGGGTTTTTTTTTTTTTTGTAATTTTTGATTTTTTTTTTTTAATTATTTTTACACTGTCCTTATTTTTTTTTTATCACTTTTAATGCTATCACAGGGAATGCAAATATCCCCTATAATGTCAATGGGCATTTTCATATAGTCTTTTTTGAGAAATCTGGGGTCAATCAGACTCTAGATATCTCCTCTGCCTTTGCATTATTTAATCTCACCAAGATTGGTGTGATCAGATGCTTTCCCAATTTAAAAATGGTGCTTTTTTATATCCTGCAAAACTGAAATGATGAAATGCTCGTTGATTCTGAATTCTTAGACTGCAGATATGATTGGAGCCGTTCTGGTCTCTGATCAGCTCTATGGTCAGCCAGCGGAACCTGCCGGCTTCATTCTCGGATTCCCTCTGTGGGACAGGAGAGCCCAAGAATGTCCCTTCTCTCTGCTCATAAAAACAATTCAGCAGCTAATTGGCCACTAGGATTGTTTTTACATGAAAACTGACCGCCAGCTGAAAAAAAACGATACCGGGATGATGCCTGTAGCTGCAGCTTTGGTTACATAGGAATCCTGTGATCGCATAGCAATCACATGATCACCGGGTCCCGTTCACCAGGATCTTCATTCCGCTGTGTCCGCTGGACACAGCAGTGGGGGATGCGCTGCGCACCAGCTAAGGCGCTCAGTGCCCCCTTGTGTTAGTACAGCCAGAGCGATGTACGGGTACATCGCTTTGCCTGTAGCTGCCGCCTGGCCGCACTGCATGGCAGCGGGAAGTGGTTAGACACTTTTGGAGCTTGTCCACAATTTATTTGTTATTTTTTAAATTTTTTTAAATATCTTCCTGGGTCTTGGGAGTTATACAACAATGTATTGATCTGTTGGTGATATTAATTTAAAGGGTCAGTCCATTCAAAACTAAAATTCTGTTTATAGTTTTGTCAGGGAGTTACATTTCCGACTGACTTCTTACATTTCTCTGTTACTTTATTGGCAAGATCGCCTCATCTGTCCACTCCGCCATGATTGATTCTCCATATTGTACAGCTTTTCATGGAGAATGAATGATTGTAATGGGTTTAAGATCTTGGAATTAATGCGCAGTGTGTCAGCCTTTTCAGAAGTGACTTGCTAGTTTCAGGTGGACTAGTTCATAATATCACAGGGTTGTGGAAATTTTTGAAAAAACTACTTGTCAAGGGACTAAATCGGTGTCCCAATGTACTTGTCCCGCATGACAATCTACTTGTCCTGATAAAAAAACAATACATTTTAACCAAAACCGTATTTGAATTCAAGGTGCTTTTAAGAATGTCTGGAGCTTTTAAAAACAAAAGAGGCTTTATGATGACTTAAACATTTAATAATTTTAACATTGCGCTGTTTATCTCCTCCTCCTGGAGAGACCTTCCAGTGTAATGAGCACTGATTGGGTACTTGTCAGGTAAGGGAGTGTTGGGCTTATCTTTTATCCCTTTCGTTGCCAGAGCCGTTTTTGCATATTTTGCACATGTTTAAAAAATAATTTTAGGCCTGAGGATTACATAAAACCCCCCAAGCATTATATATTTTTCTGAAAGCAGAGACCCTAGAGAATATAATAGTGGTAGTTCCAATTTTTTATGTCACATGATATTACCGCAAAATGTCTGTAAAAAAGTTAATTTTAGGGCACAAAAAAAGCAATAAAATAAAAAAAAAAAATGTTTATAAAATATAAAAGGTGAGGTTGTGCCGAGTAAACAGATATCCAACATGTCAAACCTTAAATTTGCATGCACTCGTGAAATGGCGACAAACTTCAGTACCCTATATTTCTATAGGTGGTACATTTAAAGCCCCTTATAGGTCATCAGTATAGTGTTATGGAGAAGGTCTCATGCTAGAATTATTGCTGTCATCCTAGCGTGCGTGGCGATATGTAACATGTATATCACAATCGACATTTTCATGTGTAGGTCTCCCAGCATGTGCTTTTAATGTTTGTATATGTGGGGGTGGATAGGGTCTCAATTTTTTTCTTTGTTCGGAGGGGGGGGGGGGGGTGCTTGGGTGTAACTTGATTGGTAACTTGGGTTTTGTTGACATGTTCTCTTTATTGAGACATCCAAGATCTACAAGACCCTGGATGTCTCCCCTGAATGTAATGCAGTGCACATCGCACTGCATTACATTCTTTCCTGACTCTTGTTAACGGGGACCCAGAAGTGAGATCATAACATCACGTCCGGGTCAGGACAAGAAGGGGAGGGGAGCTGCTCCCGGGCCCGCAGATGGGCAAGTGGGGCCCGGGAGACGACATTTGGGGGGAGGAGCTGGCACTGTGTGGAAGCAAGTGGTGGCAGCACTGCCGCTCTAATGCTTTCACCTGACAGGTAAGCCCTCTGCTTGCCTGATGCCCGGAGCTACATGTCCTGATTGTCGGGCGATATAAATTCAACATCCCTGTATCCTAGATATACATTCTCGTATTATATCTATCCAGTTAGTCAGAGATGCTTTAAGGGAACAGACATGTTTTATCTGCTAGTGGCTCTTGGTGTGAACCATCGTGATTTTCCTATTATCAGTAATGCAAGAGGGGTCATTTATTTGTCTTTAATAGAG